GTGAAAACCTCAGACGCTGTTAGTTGGTTCCTGTTGGCTGTGCATCTTTTTTACCAACCAAGTTTGTGGACGCCATTATAACAACACAGATCACTCTGACTATTCATGCCAGAGTCCTGTGGAAAAAGTGACAGGTGGTAATTTGTGTGTAACTTATCTTTACTTATTTACGATTTGGTTATGGGTAAAACAAAGACCATGCACGTCAGGTTGTTGAAAAGGTATGCTACAGATAAAGAATTAGTTATGAATTAATTTATTATGCATAAATAAATAATTTAACGATGCCATCGCCCATCGTGATGTTTCACATTAGACATTGTATGGTGCCAAATTGGTCGACTTGCCCCAAACCTATGCTGTACCTACTAAGTAGTAGGCGATTTCAAACACAAACAATTAATAACTAATTTAACATTAGTGAATTGATCTATTTTGATTCTTGTCTTTGCAAACATTGCTGATAAGACAATCTGGACAGAGCTAAAAAAGTAGAAGTTATAGAAAGATAAATCTCTGTCAGCATGTGTGGATCTTGACAGTGTGAAAATCTTGACAGGTTGAAAACAACAGAGAGGAAAAACAAGCTGCTCAAAGACGGCAAAAGAAAAGGAGAGAAAAAGGTGCTGAGAAAGTGACACAGCAGGGTGAATTCATGAGAGCAGCACAGAAAGGAAGTTGGTAGAAATCATGAAAAACTTAATAAAGAACAAACAGTATCAGTGATTAAGATGATGAATAATACATAGATGTAGCAGTGAGACATGACGGGGGGAGGGGAGGAGTGAAAGAGGAGATTGACTGAAGCAGAGACGTTTCAGACTCATAAACTCCCCAAAATTCCCAGTCAGACTGCAATAAACTGTCTGGGCCTTTATTTCGCAGACTATTCTGGCACTGCTGTCAGTCATCCAATGCTTGGATTTTCACTTCTGCCAATCAAATACAACTCCCTAATGGCTTCCCGCTGAAAAGTAAATGCACTCAAAGTCTCTGAATAAAAAAAAAAACAACAGGGTGGATGTGAGTAACAATCAAAGATTCAGGCAGGAAATCTCTACAGAGAGGCTTGGCCGTCAGCGAGCGGACAGGTTATGGATAGAGAATGAAGGACTGAGGAGGAGATGTGGATCTAAAACCTAAAGGCCCCTGGAGGTGAAGCAGTAGAAACGGACAGAAAGAAAGTGAAAGAAAGTTAAAGGTAAAGTAGGGCACTTTGAAAAAGCTTCATATCCTAAACCTTTTTCATATTTCTTGATTCCACTTTTTGTTTTAATTCTTGATTTAAAACAGTAATTTCCCCCAAGAAGTAGAGGCAGAGTGGAGAGCGGAGAGCATAAAACTCCTGTTAGAATAAACTGTTAGAAATAAACTGTACACCGCAGCTTCACAAAGCTTATTGCTTTTATATAACAGTTATTTCATACACATTGCAGTTTCACAAAATAAAACTAAGCAAATAAAGTGGTTTGTTTGGCTTACCACCACTCAGTACCACTCCAGTACTGACTGGAATGGTTGCTAAGCAACAGTCACAGGTGTATATTTGTAGAGTAATTTACAACAGCTTGGGAAAATGCAGCTCAACCAAACAGAGTCAAGGACTGGAACCCAAATCAGTTTTATCATTTCAATTTTGATTGTCATATTTAATTAATTTTACAACTCAATTTTTTAAAATTACAAATTCAGGAGTTCTATAAATCATGCTATAAATTATGCTTGTGTTTCCTTGCTTTGAACAGACCATAATCAATGATATTACTTATTTGACAGTTACCACATGCTGCATTAAACACATGGGTCATATATTGTATTTTAAGGCATACACTGTAGGTTTTGTCCTTAAATAGCTCCTGTGTGTAGGATCATTTTCATATGCATCTCATTCAAAGCTTCTGTGGCTAATTCTAAATACATGAGCTGGCTTTGTTGACGTATGTGTCTTATTGAGGATGTTGTTTTTAGATTTAGATCATAACTGTAAAAGATATGGACGGAGTATCCGTGACGTCACCTATAGGTTTCTGAAAAGTGCAAATGAATCTACAAGTGGGTGTGGCCAACCGTCACCATTTTGTTCCCGCATCATTGCTCCAACCGGGGACACCAAGATATTGAATTACCGAACCGTGAGATGAGTGTAGGTTCACCCCTCTAATAATTGATGAATAAATGAATCGAGAATATTAATTTTTGGCAGAAATCTCCCTTAAGGGTCGACAGGACAGATCTAGTTCAGGAGGGAGAATAACGCTCTTCTGTAATGGCCTGTCACTCATGCCGAGTTTTCATTTAGAAAATAGATCTCTACTGCACCTTAATTACATTCCATCCCTTTGGACACACACACCCACTCTCGCACTTTACTGGAATTTAGCCTGTTTGTGTGTGCGCGTGTGTGAGAGCGAGAGAGAGAAAGAGAGAACGCGTTTGCTAGCTGTGGGTTGATCAGGTTTAGCCTTTAGACGCAGGGCACTAATTAAACCCTCATCTCTCTCAGTAATTAAGAGTTAGTTAAAACACAGTGGAGTGTTTTCACTACACATAATTAGTAATTACATATAAAGAAAGAAACTTCCTCACATCCCGTCTTTATTAAATCTGTTGATCAGAGAGATGAGAATAAGCTGCCGTTTCTGTCGTCATTCATATTTATAGAATAATAAAGCCTGGCAGAGGGATTATGGAAATCATCAGTGTCTATAAACACGCTTCACAGAGTGATATTTTAGATCTGCTGTTTGATTTGAATCTCTCATGATTATTGCCCTAATCAGAAATCCTGAGCAGGGCTCTGTGATAAGGATTGGCCTGCTGGGCTTTAACAAGTGTTTCAAATGCCTTCTCACGTCTGACATTGTTAATGATATACTGTAGCATTGCATTTTCTTTAAACGCTAAGATGCATTACAGTAATTAAAGCTACAGTAAAGGCATATATAATGTTATGAATGATTTCTCTTTTAAATCAAAACGGCTCTTGTGAACTTTTTATGAAGAAATCCCATAAAAAAAATAATGTTTTGACAAAAACAGTAAAGGGCATAATACATTTTTAACTAGAAAAGTAATGTTCGTAGACAAACTTTATGGTGGCTTGAGAAAGCCCAGTCTGAAAGTTTAAAGTAGTTTTAAAATTTAAACAATAGAAGTTTGAAACCGTTATAACTACATAAGTTAGCATGTTTCTGGTATGGATTGGCATGTTTCTTGCTAGGCTGTTGATAGGGGATTCTAAAGCCTGGTTTATACTTCTGCGTCAGGTGACCGGCGTAACCCACGGCGCAGGTAACGCACGTAGCTGTGCATTTATACTTCTGCGCGCTGTCTCTGTTGGTCTGCATTAACACTTCCGAAACGCTAGTTGGCAGTGAGGTGTAAATGTTCCTCTGTGTCGAGTTTCTTCGCTGCTGTTTTGCTTTTCCTGAACACTTCCTGGATGTACAAGGGGCTCAAACTCGCTCATTTTGAGGCAGGAACCGGCGGACGTGCATAACTTTAACTATGAGGTAAACACAAAACAAAACTTTCCATCTGGAGAAGTATAAATCAGCCTTAAGGTGTTGCTAAGGTGTTATAGGTCATTGCTAAGGTGCTCCAAGGTGGTTGCTAGGGTGTTCTGAGATGTTGCTAAGGCGTTGCTTGGTGGTTGCTAGAGTGTTCTAGGTGGTTACTAAGGTGTTGCTAGGGTGTTCTGAGTGGTTGCTAGGCAGTTGCAAAGGAGGTGCTAGGTGGCTGCTAAAGTGTCACTTGGCATTTGCTAATGGTGTTATGGGTAGTTGCCAGCCAGTTGCTAACATAAATTAGCAAGGTTCTAGTATGAATTAGCATGTCACTAACATGTTTCTAGTATAAAAAAACATGTGTTAGCATGAATTTATCATGAATTAGCATTTTTCTAGCATGATTAATATGCTTCTAGTATGGATTGGTATGTTGTTAGTATGTCCAATGTAAAGTCAATGGCAGTTTTTTTTACAATGGAAGTCTAAAGGATAGTTGCTAGGGTGCTGTAAGTGGTTGTTAAGGTGTGGCTAGTAAGTTGAAAGGGGATCAGTGATTGGCAAATTGGTAGTCTGAGTTAAATGAGCCAAAACTTAAGTCTGTATGACAGTCTGGCGCAAAGTTATGAGGTCACAAGGTTTGGTCCAATGTTAAGTCAATGGGACTTTTCCAAATTTTCCAGGACAGTTTTTGGGAAACCGTAAGTCAAATCAGTTAGAAAATATATAGCAACTTAAGTCAGTATAGCATGGAGGTTTGGAGTTAGTTTGGTAGTTGTAGTATGAACGGTCTAGGAGGAGATGTGTTCTTAAAATAGTCTAAGAAGAAGAAGATGATTATGTAGTATAACAGTATGTTAGCTTTCTCAAGCCACCATAATAACTTTAAATAGACTATTACTGTATATTTAAACTGCAATAATAATACAGTCGTTCCTGTATTTTTGATCGAATAAATGTAAGACAAAAGTCATAGCTGTTTAACCTCCAAAACAGACCTGAAACAACATTTAACAAATACAATCATTAGTACCATTCACAAATGATTATTTTGCATTACAAAAGCACATTGGCTGACTAAATTCTAAATTAAAAACAGTACTTGTAAACTAGAAGAAATCATATTTCTAGGAATGACAAAAAGTAAGTAATCGAACAGTGAATAAAATAAATCCATCATTTTGCAATGAGTTAAAATTGTGGCTTTCAGAAAGTAAAAATTATCAGAGGAAGAAAAAAGAAATAACTTCTCCAAACAAAACAACAAACAACAAAATATATAATCTATTAACTATTCAGTGCATTCTACCATCTAGTTAAAATGCAAGACTTCACCCAACAGGATTTTGTTTTTCTTTATCACAGCATCAAGTTCACTTTGTGGGTGTTTGGAAGCCTCTTCATTTGGTACAGTGTGGGAATTCATAAAAAGACCTTTCCAGTGTGGAAAGAGTTTGTAATCCGGCACAGAGGATGTTAGTGGGAGGTACTCACGCTGGCCCCAGCGCCCTGTGCGCGGGTTCAGATAGTTCGGGTAAAGCCCATTGGGTCTGTCCATTTTAGCCAGCAGCTTCCGTATGTGCATCACCTAAACCAGAACACAAATAGAGTTCGCAACATAAATAGCCAATCTTAAAGTATGAAACTGTACTCTATTTGCATGGTATGGTATGCTTATAGAGTACAGAGTGTGTATCCACCATGAGCAAGTCTGATATTCTAACTGTGTGTACATCATGAACTCTAAATTGCTTCTGCACCCTTTTACTTAAACACAAGGTGTCTGAATTGGGTTGCTCCTTTAATAAAAAAAAATGCTCTAAAGTTGACAGAAGATACACAGACTCCCCTGTTAATGACTGTATGTGTGAGTAGATTTAAATAAAACCAAATAAACAAACAAATATAGTTTAAAGTCCCCAAGAAATCAAAATATTCACATTGCTAGTTTTGTGGTGAATAATTCATCTGTGTATGTCTAAAGAAAATAGTTTGCCCTTCTAATCTTTCATTGAAATCTGAAAATGCACTTCCAGTTTGTTTTCATTTAACAAGAAAGTCATCAGATGATGTGATTTTGAGGTAATGGACGTGGCTAACATTCTTAACAACACTGCTCCACTGTTTTGATAACAAACCTGATCTTGTTGAATGAAATGCCTACTATAGTACATTCCTTCAGTCTGTGGTAGAAAAAACAAGCCTTGCCCACAATTTGCTCATTTAAAATTCTGCGTCTGGAACTGCGTCACAATACCAAAAAAAATACGATCACAGCTTCCAATTCTTTGGGTCTTTAAACAAGGGGTGTTGATCTATACCTAGAGAGAATAATCTTTAATTTATGTTTTTTCATACCGGAAGCTACAGTAGAGGGCGATCTAGCCCAGAAAATTGACAAGTCTGACAATCTGGAGTGATAAAACTTCCAAAAAATTCATTAAATGGATCCAACAAAAGTGCTCAAAGATAGTAGCATCATCAGGGTGCGGCAAAGGGTATGCGACTGTGCAAATTCTATGACGTACCGCATGCACTCGACACAGAAATGTTAATAAGAACATGATCTTGAACTTGTAAAAACTGTATCATCATGAATTATAATTTTTTTTTTGCAGATCCAAGTTCGCAGATCATTCGTCAGTAAACAAAATTGTAGCAAAAAATAAATAAATAAAATCGTAGAAATCACCCTTCTATAACATCTGTAAATGCACACTTATGAAGCATAACAGTTTCTTTTGTATTCAACATAATAAAAAAAGAAATTTGACAAATAGTCACTTTTTCTTTTTCAATATCACTGTAGATATGGTTATTTTTGAATTATTTTGACTCTCCAAAAATCATGACAACCTTGACAGTCTTAGTTTAAATGAATTTGAAGACTATTGTTTTGCTCATAGAGCCAGACAGAATCCGCTGACATTTTTGTTGCTATTTCTATTTTTTGTTTAAAAAATCTGCAAAGATATGTTGAATGATTTTAGGAGTATGGTAACTAAAAACCTTTTATAGTAAATAAAAAATAAAACAATTTTAACTTTTATTTCAAGTTTATAATACAAATCCAATTGCATCCTCTCATTTGGTAAACAAAGTCTCTCATATAATAATATATCTACTAAAAGACTTTACAAACTGTATAGTACGTAAATCATATGAACAATTTAAAATTACTGTTATCTTATCACAATAATATTCATAAAATTCTTTTAAAACTGATTAAATACACTTTTATACACATTTACATTAAGTAAATACAAAGACTCAATGATGGACAAAAATCTGGAATCTGCGGATTTCTGTACGTGCAGAATATGTGTGGGCCTACCTTTTAAAGAGGATAAAATGCCTCTTGCACATAGCGTATACTTTGAAAGGCTCTGTACATTAAATGTTCTTTAGGCTGGAACATGCAGGCATACCTTCTGATAGTAGGCAGGGTTTCCTGTCAGATATGTCAGATGCACAAACTCCATGTGGAGCGTCCCAAACTCGGCCAGAATGCTGCTTCCACCTGACGCCCATCCCCAGTTACGCCCCACTCCGCTAATAGAGACAGAAGGAAACAACAACGGCATTTACATAGAGCATGCAGCCTGTAGCGAACATTCCCCATTATACATTCACAGCATGTAGAGAAGAAAGAATTATGGCGCAATCTTTAAGTCAAACGGCCTCATTCCTCCTCCAAACGGATTCACTGCCACCCATCACTCCTCCGTCAAGCCCAATATCCTGTGCTCTATTTGTACCTCTCATTTCCATTCAGAATGTATCCACAGCAATTGCTTAGTGTGTGTGTAGACTGTGAAAGGCTGCTCTACATGAATAGGGATTAATAAAACACAGCGTCGTTCTTTCCCTTAGGATTAAAGACACCCAAAACGCGGTGGTCTCGACAGTTCCTCAGCAATTCCTTCTAAACACCCAATTAATTTACAAAAAGCCGTGTCAGGCTGGATTTGACCCTCCTCCCTCCTCCAACACACACAAAAAAAGGCATAATGTACATTCACAATGCGGCTCCGCAGATTAATTGTGCAATTTTCATTTCATTCTAATGAAATTATGTGGAAAGTCGCGTTAAACAGGAGGAAAGCCACGGGGACTGTTGCAGTCGCACAAGGTCTGACAGCCTCTCATTATATAGCAGGACAATGAGTTGAGGACAGACGGCATGGAGGAATGACGAGGACCCGAAGAGCAAGAAATGGAGAGGAAGGAGAAATGGAAGCTGTGTATTGAACATACCTCTTTAAATTGACCATGGCCCAAGGGATGCCCGTCGGGGTGTTGAAGGCAGGAAGCAGTTTTTCCGCCAGCTGGACAGCCTTTAGCTTAAAAACCTAAGAGACAGAGACAGACAGAGAAGAGAAATAAATTATGAACCATGAGAGAGACAAAGCACACAGGTGGACAGAACGAATCAAGTCAGCTCTAGGGAGGAAAAAAAAACCTCTGTAGGTGAATCACACACACAACAATGTGTCAGGGTCTTCTTTTGATTTGAGGGTGATATAAACAATTCTATTCATGCAACTAAGATAAAACATTACTTTTATGACATACAAATTGTTTTTATTGTATGCTCAGAAAAGTCCATTAATTATCATTTAATCTAATTGCACATTTATGTTTATAGTCATAAATGTAAATTAATTCAGTAGGCAAAATAGTACATGTTACTCACAAGCTGTGATTCACAGTTTAATTTATCTAATAATTTAAATTTAATGTATGTATTTAAATAACACGCACTACTGTTAAACAATTACTAGCAAGCAAGATTTACAAAATAAGGACAAATCTTTCAGCAATCAGCCTGTTGATGTTTCTAAACATGACAGTAATTAAAAATTGTTTGCTGCTCCTGGGACTTGGAAGGAGGCGATAAGACTTTTGTCAGGTAGTGTAGGTAAAAACTATCCATCTGTCTACTTAAAAGTACTTCAATTTCAGACATATGGATTCAAGACCAGGAAAGTACTCAAAAATAAAACGCATGTCCTTGAAAGTGCTTGAATTAAATTTTATTTGTTCATGGTTTCATTTTTTATAATTGTACTTTATTGTCAAATACAGAACAAAAAAAGAGAGAAATTCTTAATTGTAAATATTATATACAATAGATAAATATATATACAATAACTGATAAATACTGCACATTTGATTAATATTTCAGAAACTGCATTTAAATATCACCAGTATTGAATTCAACGAAAATGATTAAAGTTTTTTGAAAATTACTTTTTAAAAGTCAATTCTTGACAATTACTCTTGACTTTTTTCGTAAATATTAAGTGTAAGTGAATTGTTCAGTATAGTAAGGGCTTTCGTGACGCTACATATGCTGGGATAACAATTACAAAGGTGCTTGATTTAAAATTAATGCTGCATTAAAAAGTCCTTGAATCTGGTATTCATGAAAGGGTGGGAAACTTGCGTCCATCTAAACACAATGTAGGCTGATTTCAACAGTCGAAGACTTTGAGAACAACACATACACTTAATACACAAATACACTTCTCTTGAGCATGTACACATAGACATCACCTACATATAACTGCAGGTTAACCAGGATTATATATAATAACTGTTGAAAGCTATTAGTTATTAGTTAAAGTTATTATTCACTCAAAGTTATGGCAAATAACAACCTTAATTTCCAATATTGATTGCAATGCAATTATCTGCAACTTTTGTAAAGCTGCTTTGAAACACGCAATACAAATAAACTTGAATTGAATTAAATGACTTGGTTGTGTTTAAATGTTTTTTTAGTATGCATGTTTTGAGAAAATTCAGCTTGAAATAGAATTAAATTATATTTTAAAAAAACTGTTATTTAAAATATTTTAGTTTACTATTATTACTGTGCTGACTGTATTTTTAATCAATTAAACCCACTTAATTAAACTCGCTAAATGCAGGTGTAAACAAGGTCTAAATTGCTTGCGCTCGTTCACACAATAGTTCTCGTGCGTCACAGTTATTTCCCCCTTGTAAGTGATACAGAGCATGACAATACAACTGGGAAGCATCTTGTGGAAATCTGTACACAAGTGGTCACAAGAGATTAAGATGCTTTTGAACGCATGTTAAAACAAAGTGGAAACAGCCTAGAAACAGCCAAAAAAAATAAATAAAAATACTTAAAACAATATTGTTTCCTTTCCTTTTTGAAGTACAATAAGTCCTGGAAGACATCTTGATAGGTTTTGTGAGCCCATGTAGCCTGACTAATGTTATTTTTAAATAGGAACTAAAATGATAAAATCCATCCACAAAGTCAAGAGAGAGGAAACTGCCTCACAGAGAAAAAAAGAACACACATCTGAGACTGAATAAATACCCATTGAACAACACACCTGAATGTGTTTACTCACTGACTGTCAGTGGAGAAATGATGCACTGGGGTTTGTTTGCCCTCGTCATAAAGTTCAACATCTGAGCTGAGACAACCTTTGCTGAAAACTGCAGTTTAACAAAAACAACGATAAAAACCTACTGCTGCTGGAGATGGACACATTCAGAGCAAAGACAGGCACGTCCTTCACAGTTTCACTGGAGAATGTGTTTTGATGTGGTGCAGTAGAAAAGTTGCTGGTTTTAACATCGACTAGGTGGACATAGTCAAACATAGTCAAACAGGTACAGAAACTGAATAATGAAATGTAAAACAGCACTGTGTAGTCTTCATTGTAATAATTCAGTAAAAATATTCTTCACTAAAATTACAAATGTACCTTTTTTATGCCAGAATGCTTTAATCTCTCTTAAATTGCCTTTAAAACGCACGCAAATGATAAAAAATTCACTCTGTTATGGTTATTCTTTGACTGATTTCATGACAAATCTTATGTATTCTCAACTGTTGTGCTGATCAACTATAATCCCAACTCAACATAGCATATACTGCAATGTGACTATTGCTGACACACACATTGCGATATCAATGCAGAAACAATACATCGTGCAGTCCTAGAATTGAGATTGAAGCCTAGCATAGATAAATAAGTGATACTAAAACTGCCAGTAGGTAGCAGCAAGTGCCTGTCTTAATACATGACTCAAGAAATCATTTATTCAAATGATTTGTTAAACTAAACTAAGCTAAATAAATGGATCACTAAACATCAACTGGTTAAAATACAGATTGATTCAGCAATGAAAAACAGCAGTGTTGCTCTGAAAGTGTCAAATGTTCTGCTCCAGTTTTGTTTGAACTGATTTATTGTACATTGGCAAAATGGGGGAAAAAAGAACTGAGCTCAAATTAGCCTTAAACTGATTCGTTCAGGAACAAAACAGCACAGATGTAGCTCTAAGCCACACAAATGTTTGGCTCTGACTTGGGTCTGAAATTATTTTCAGAAAAAGAAAAAATAGATATTGCACCTAAAATGCACTCTTGAATAATATATTAGGCAAGGCAAGGCAAGTTTATTTATACTGTATAGCACATATCATACACAGTGGCAATTCAAAGTGCTTTGCACAAAAACGAATAAAAGCGACTAATGAAAAAGAAAAGAAAAACATAAAAGTTTGATCTGTCAGACGTAGTACAGTGCTCATTCAGATGGAGAGATTAGAGTTACTAATTACCAATATCAAATATCTGTCGAATCATTAACAGGGTTCAACGCTAAGAACATTTTCTACTAGCCCGACTGGACCAGCAGTTCAGATTTTTACTGGCCCTTCCAAAATTTTCACTGGCCCCACCAAAATAAATAAATAAATTAAAAATAAATAAATAATAGCTATTTTTTAGCCACATATTTTAAATAATGCGTCAAAAATAATGTCTTTGAATCTAGAATTTAAATATTTTTTAAATGTTAAAATATTTAGATGTAAAATACAGCAGTATGGAAAATGAGCAGGTATTTTATTGTTAAACAAAAAGTGGCTGACTTAAAAGTGATGGAAAACCATGCAAAACATCATTTCATTTTTTTGTTGTGTTGTACCCATGTAAATATCTTTTTCCACAACGTTGGAAACAGACGTTTTCTTTTAGCCTCATAATTTGATGTTGCCGTCTCTTCACTGTTCTGGTTTTTACCAGGTTGTGGAAAAAAATAACGTGCTCACAACAACCAATCAGATAAAAGGAACCAAAAAGCAATATGGGGTTTACGACTTTACAGAAAACGTAGCATTCTGAGACTTAAAAGCACAAATTGTTTCTCGGTTCTAAGACTGTATTTGCACACAACTGACAGTAGCAGGCAAATTAAAATTTGATGACAAGGCAGCACTGGCCTGATCGGGCCAGTAACGATTCTCTCTACTGTCCCGAACATCTCTCATGCTGGCCCCGGGCCATCGGGCAGTCCTTAATGTTGAGCCCTGATTAATAATGGAGTCATTCATAATGTAGATTTCATGCACAACATACTTTCTCAAGCGCTTTTGTTTGATTTGCAAAGTTGTGCCATTCTCACATACTCCATCTTATCTCAACACCAAATGAAGACACTATTATGATATTTTCACAGACAATAAATATCACACACTCCTATTCCAACCTTGTAAGTAAAGATTAACTGTGAGGACTTGAAGCATTTCATCCAAAAAATAAAGTATTTCTGCAATTTTTTATTTACATGAGCACGACTAAATGATGACAGAATCATTTTTCTTTATTTTGAACACTGCTTCATGTGGCTTCTCTGCACAAAAATAATTATCAGATGCTTTGGATAAATATTTTTCTGCTCACAAAAACAAATATGCTTCTGAACACTTATTATTCTGTCCTCTTCTTTACAAACCCACCAGCAAAAACACAAAATGACTGACTTCACTCTACTGACAGTGCAGATTATTACAAGTACTAGATGTCAAATGTGCAGCAATCAATATTTTATTTCTCACGCAGCGGTGCAGTGTTATCATCATTTCATTGACTACAACCCTGGGATCCTACCAGGTGCTTCTGAGCAAAAGTGTCTAGAAAATACTCGGTGTTGATGACTCACAGCCAGACTCCTCAGAGCAGAGTAAGATCTGTTGCTTCGCTCATGTCAGAGCGCGAGCAGTGCGGTTGATCATGTTTTTAGGTCAGTAGATATAATGAAGACGTAGCAGAGGGGGGAGGAAAAAAAGCCTCTGGTTCTCAGACAAACCATACAGCTGCCCAAGTCACTCCCGAGGGTTTTATTTCCAGTCTTATGGATGTTAACGTGGAGTCTATTAAAATGTGCAGCAATTCACTAGAATAGTGTGAGGAGTGTACCCTGCCTTTGAGATATTTCTGACTTCTCACAGACAGACAGACAGACAGACAGACACACACACGTTTCCACTTTAAGCCAAATATCAAATTCCCTGACTT